AATTTGACTCCTTCTTTAACTGGTGAAGAATCGAGGTCCACTCTCCACTGGACATCTCGCTTACAACCACGCGGTAGAAATCCTTGTAAGGCCGTTTGCTTCCAGAGTTTTGTGCGCCGGTATAGTAGTCACTATCCAACGCGTTGTAGGCCAGATCAGTTGCGAGTCCAGTGTCATACTCAACCCGGGCAAACAATACGATGCTGACCAGGTGCTTCACTCTCAGAGTTGCCCATCTTTTGAACAGAGCTGGTAAGAATCCATTGACAACCTTGTTGAACATAATCTCACCGGTATCTCTGGAGTCAAAGTCCCACATTTCTTGGGACATTTGGATGAAGAGAACAAATCGAGCAGATTCACTGCGGAAAATAGGTCGTGTATCCCGCGTGAAGTATCCAGAGTGCACACGGCGGCCGTTGACAAATACGGCCGTAACCTGGGCTTTGATTGTGCCCAAGAACAGGATAGATTGACCTTTGTAGACGGTACGCTGGTTCAGCTCGCCAACCGTAAGTCTCCATTGATCAGCTCTCGATAGGTACTGGTCTTTAAAGAACAACTCGACATGCGTAGCTTGAATTGCTGGGTTATCTTGATTGATCTGGTAGCTGGAGTTAGCAGGGGTCTGGGCTCTGGGGAGAGATAAGGCACTCGTTCAACATACCGGAGCCAGAAGAACCCGTGACCCTCTCTTGATCCCAAATGCATCTGCAATATGCTTCGCCACCGTAACATCAACATCTGGATACCTGGACTTCATCTCCTTAGGCATATCCTTGGCGAGGAAGACGTATCGACTACTGATGTAATCCTGATCTAGTAAGGAGAATGTGGGATCCCTGGGGCTCTCCCTGGGACCCGAATCCCAGGAGTGTCTGCCGAGACTGCCATATGTCTGAGAAGACTTGATACTATCACCCTTGATGGCTGTTACAGCCATCAATGCGCCGGCTTTGACATCCCCTCCCAGCCGGTCAAAGTTGAGGAAGACCTCCTCCCTCGAGAAGCCTTCATAGGTGCTGACGGTACAGTATCTCTCACGACTTTGGCGCAGTCCAGATTCCTTGATCGTTGAATGCGTTGAGGTGCTTCGAGGAGAGCCAGGGGGATCGCTGGATGAGCGTTCCTGGCTGGATCTGCTCGCATGGCGCAAACGAGTCCATTGGGGGCCCCTGCGCGAAGCCGATAGTGGCGCATTCAACGACATTGCCTCGGTGGTCACTTAACGAGACGGGTGTGACATCCAACATGGGCTATTGGCATCTCTCTAGATGCCCGTTCCAGGCTCATCAACTTGAACTCGGAGGTTGGCTGACGATACCGAGAACCATTCAACGAGCTTGACTGATGAAGGTCGTTGAAGCAGTAGCTCGATACGGCAGAATCCACCAGTTGGGGGAAGCTGATTTCACCGCCTGCCATTTTTAGACTGGCACCGCCTAGGATGCGTGCACCACTTCAAGATGCTTTCGATTAGATCAATTGAAGGATCTAATTTGGCCTAAAAAGTCTCAAAAGTAAAGAGCCATAAATACAAGCATGAAGTAAGTGCACCTGAATGCAACTCAGTGCACACCTCGCAAACTGGTTTTTGAAGACCGGAATACCCATCCCCACGCCTTGACTCAGTACCTGGTTCTACGTCGTATTTAATTACCCAGCCAATTTCTGTTACCACATTCGGTCGCCTTCTAATAAGTGTAATATACGCTCAACACCAAGATCCCTGAGAGGGTTGCACTTGTCAATGTGATGATGACAACATGATGAGAGTCTCGCTTATCCGATCTGACCGCTTCTTGGCCGCGTGTTGCTTGGCATGTGACGATGGTGAGGCGAGGTTGTGAGAAGGCAAGCACTCTCAAACTTGGATTAATTACTGCATTCATTATTACTAGTGAAGGACGCACAGAAATAAAATGTGACAAGTTGGGGAGTCCACGAGACTGATTGGTTGTGGGGGACCAGGTCGTTGGCGGCACAGAGACACAGCCAGATGCTCTCAGCCAACAGTCCGCTTCTTCCGGCTGGGCGGTGCCCCCAGGGAGGTCCAGAATAGAATCTCGACTGAAGGATAACGGCAGCTCCATCTATTCCCGAGCCTCGACCGTTTGTGGGCAGAGTGCAGTCGGGATTTGTTAGTCTAAGGCTAGCAGTTTTGTTTTGTTGTGGCTGTTACTAGCAACCCGAAAAGGCACCTAAGAAGCAGCCATGACAACTACAAAATCACTCATTGGCGTACAGAATGGGTATCGGCTGCGAACTGGGGCAAGACAAGCATGCTAAACGATCGCCGGTGTGATTTTAATCGCTTAGTACGTACATGAACGTGATGGCAGTGGCCGTCCTGCCTTACTGCACAGATGTCTCACTTCCTGCTTGGCTTCATTTCTTCATCGAAAAGTACCTGACCTTCGACAGCTGCTTACCTATATCGGCAAGTGTCTCACATGATTTTGGCTGCTTCCCACAAGTTCTGCGAGTGAAATGGGGGCAGGGAACGGCCTGCAAGTGGGTGCCCTCTCTTTGCTTTTTTTCTCTCCGATTCCTTCGAGTCCTAGTCGAGGCTTGGCGAGTTTGGCCAGCGCGATTGGGAAGTGGAGAGGCGCGAGAGGAGCTGAGAGGAGAGACGATCAGACAGACAGGTTGGAGCGTGACCACGGACCGAAATTAGTAAAAGTAAGGGTCTTCATCAGCGGGACCCTTTCACCGCATTTTCGACGCTAGGAGGTGTCTCTATTGAGGCCTTCCATCAAGGCAACGATCGTAGCCTTCGCAGATAAGACAGACATATCGCGTGTGCATCACATGGCAGGCAGTCTTGGAGGCGGGGGTGGGCTGACAAACACAACAACTGTGCGTTTGCTAACGATATGCGTCGTGGCCATGGCATTCGCAGGCAGCTTGTTACACGTGCTCGAGGGCTGATCATCCTGTCGTGCGAGAAACGAAGTAGGTCAGCAGGCCAGGTGTGAGGAAGCCATCACTTGGCTGGTTGGTTGCCCACTGTACACCTAATTATCTGTTTGTGCCCGAGGCAGTCGACGGCAGATCGAGAGACAAGAGACCAGCGTCTCATGCATAGTAGCTATCGGGCAGCCCTATCGCATTACTATCTGCCAACTGGAGCTGGAGCGAGGCCCAGAAACCCAGCACCCACCCCAGAGGCACATTACATCCAGCCCCAAATCAATGAGTTGGTGCATGCAGTAGTGTGCTGCTTGTATCATCCAGCCTATTGCATGCATATCATTTCATCATGGGTGGGTGTGTACATGGGACTGGAGTGACTCAAGGTGTCCCACGGTGACATCTAGCGGGATGCCTTTCTTGGGACAAGTAAATGAATACTATACTAGATAATCTATATCGCTCTCGCATGCTTTGCCAGTTGTGCTGCTCTTGCGCCAGCAGACCGCCCTTTGTGTTCGCTGAGCTTGGCCAGAGTCGCTGGAGGTTAGTTGTCGTCTATGGTAGTGGGCAGGCAGCAGGGCAGACAATCAATCATCATCCCTGGGGATCACCTGTACCTAGCAAGTAGCCTGCATTAGGTATCACAGCAGATGCATTACGACGCAACCACTAGCTAGTCATCTCGTAGCCGTAACGAGATGCCCCGATCCACGATGCTTGGGCTGGGATTGCCGTCGGATAGTCGACATTCGTCAGATAGGAGCCTTGTGTCTCTGGTCCCGTCTCAGCAACCGCACGAACGAGACTGTTGTTTCTGTCTGTCGGGGCCCCTCCGACAGGGTTATGCCCCTCGGCGAGTGATTGAGTGCTGCGTAACATGAGGCATAGTGTCTGTCCTGGGCTAGGTAGTGCGCACCGTCAGTGATGAGAGACACTGCCCGGTGCAGAGCGAGCTCGACCTAGGGCTCCGTTTTAGTGGGGTCCCGCAGCCCCTCACCTGTGCGAATGGAGAGCGCTAATGACGCTGGACCACCAGCACCTGCCTTATTACCACTTGCAGGATAATCCCATCGACGGAGTTGGAGCAATTTCTTGCTGGCGTTCCCGCAGGCTCCCCACAGGAACTCCGGCACCAAGCTCCTAGCCTCTGCCCTGGCCCCTCTCCGACGGTCCAGCCTAAGTGAGGTCAATTATAGCGCTCGCCCGCGCACTCACATCGCGACTCGTGCTGCCCCCCCAGCGCCCTGCATCACTTCCACCCACCGCCTGAGTGTGTGCGTGGCTGCGCGTGCCCTGATCCTTGTGCTGCTGCTGTTGCTGCTCGCCAGACATCCATCAAATCTCCAACCAGAACCGGATTTGCTGCCACACCTGCCCTCATCTCCAGCGCACAGAGCAAGAGTAATAAACAGCCACTGCTGCCGTTGTTGTCCGCTTCTTATCTGTCCCCTCTGCGCGTCGATCAGCTAAGCTGCTGCAGCTTACGCCGCCCATCTCATACGTACCTACATAACTTCCTCCGGAATTCGCCACATCCCCCCACCTCGATCGATTCTCGCCTCCCCCCAACGGTCGTCGCGTGTCTCCAGAACCTCAAGGGAGGACAGAATCGTGTTGCGCCGTGTCGTCTGTGCTGCTTGGCGGTCTATGCCGGAAGCCCAGCCTCATTCCTGGGCTCCTGCGATACTTCATATCCCTTCCTTCTCTATCCCGCGTCTCCTCACATGAGGATGGTGATGCCAATCCTTTCCTTACCACCCCGGTCCCTCAGCGTCCAGCTTGCATTGTTGCTTCTTTAGATATCACGCACCGCTGGACGCATTTCGGCACTCAGCAGTTCTCACGACTTAGCACTCAATTCCATGATAACCCTGGCTAGCACCTTACTCCTTGGCTCACTCTCTCGGAGAGATTCCCACTGATCTGCGCTTCGATTACTATGAGCTTGGACGGCTTCTTGTCGATACCCATATCAAAGATGGCCGTTCGCATGGATTCACCTTGATTGCTCCAACTCAACTCCTTCACGCCACAGTGCCGCCGGTCTTGGACAAGACTTGGGCTGCATTTTGACCGTGATCACCATGCTTGGGCGTCTCCTTCACTTGGGCACGAGCTCAGGCTCAGGCTCAAGCCAGCCCCAGGTTAATACTTCGCGAACGGTTTCCTCGCTCGAGTCAGTCCAGGAAGACATCCACACGCGCAATTTACTCTACCCAGATGCACATGCCCTTTTTCAGCATCGTATCGATCAGGTTTACCCGCTCTTCCCTGCATCTACGATTCCACCAACACCTTCAGGATCTAGTGCAGCTTTCGACACCAGCGACGATGTCGATCTGGATGTCCGCGATGTCCGCGTTCTCGTCATGCAGGATACCCTTGGCCATATGAATGCCTCGCTTCTGTATGACAGCCACCCGCCTCCTCCTTCACCACCCGTTGAAAGACCAACGGCGCCAGTTGTAGACCACAGGAGGACCCCGCCGGTATCGCGGAAGGGTAGTCTTGGCCAACCCTCTAGGCCAGTGGTTATTCAGTCCGAAAATACCCACGCCCGCCCCGGGGCTTTTGACCGCAGAGGGTCTCACCACTCTCGCTCTCATAGCTTCTTGGAAAATGATTCTCAGCGTGCTACTAGGGAATACCGCGAGGAACTAGCCACTTTTGCTGGCTGCATTTTCGGCAACTCAGAGCTCATGTCGTACAAAGGCACCTCGACCAAGGTTCATGTCGTTCCCACCGAAACTCGATCCATCGGCGAAACGATGGCATCGATTATTGGAGACGGCCGAAGCTCGATTGGACGTTCAGGTTCACGCTCAAGCAAGCTATCGCAGTCCTTCACTTCCCAGACCTTCTCGCCGACAGCTGCTCACAACGGAACTATTTATTCTCGTCCAGTAGAGAAGAAGAAAGTGCTCATTACCCGACTTTTTCCTGTTGTACTCCCCGACGACTCAGAGTCCACGACGACGAGCCCTCAAGGCCGGTTCTCGGATGACAACTCTGGCTTTCCCTTCCCTACTACTGCGGACGACCCTTCTAAGAGAAAAACCTCTCAGCCCAGGCAAAGGCGAACGCCTATGTACGCCGTTGTATTGGTGGTGCAACTCCCTTCGTCTCGGGCCTCGGCTGGCGTAACCCCAAAATCTACCTTCCGAGAATCCGGTTCCTATAATGAGCAAGACTTCTTCTCTTCTTCTTATAACTCTACTCGGCCGTCTTGGTGGACCACCGCCGGCCTTGGAGGCTACGGAGATGCGACGGACTCTTCTTTTTCCACCGATGTCGAAGACAGAATCGACGCACTTACTCAGCACTGGGATATTGTGATGCGAACATTGTCCCACCTTCAGTCAGTTGTATCATCTGCTCTCAAGCCCTTACTCATCCAGGCTGATGTTGCATCCCCTGATCCATTTTCGAGCTCGGTGCCACCTAGTGCCGCATCGTCACGTAACCAGTCGTTGAGCAGCAGCAGGAGAAGCGCTGAGATGACGCGGCCAAAGCCGCCAAAGAGTACTGTGAAACTGTTATCTCTAGGGCCCAATTGTTTGTCCTCTGACGTGGCTATTGCCACCGAGGTCAATCTTGCGCGCAGAAGGCTGGTGACCGGTCTCAAGGCTGCGAGGGTCGCTACTGGCCAGGGTCGCTGGGGCATTTGGCGAGATGAAGCGATGTGGACTTACAAATGGACACAGTCGCTCGGTCAGGGACCCTTTCTGTACAATTTACTCACCGGCTTCCTCGCTACGCATACGGATTGGCTACAGGCACTCTGCCCTCCATCGTATCGTCGACGATTCCAGCAACGGAAAGCTGGAATGGAGGAAGATCTTTTACTTCCTGCTCGGACGATCATAGTGGCTGACGACAAGATGGCAGCACGCCGCCTTGTCTTCCTCCTCTCAGCCTTTTTGCCTGCAAATCAGCAGCCTCCGGTGAACCGTGCTCACCGATCGAGCACTTCCATGTCGACAGGTGGATTTTCCAACTCATCACCCACCTTTGTGATACCCGTCCTAAGAGAGGAGTCCCTGCGACGCAAAATAAACAAACGAGCAGGTGCTCGTCGAGCTTCTCATTCGCGAACAGGGAGCCAAAGCACCAAATCCTCCACTGTGCCTTCTCAGTTAGCCCACCTGAGCATGGACAGTCGCCATGAACGAAGAGCTTCGGATGCGGCCTCAATCCGTACTACGAGCATTGCCATGCCTGGCAACGACTTGGTTAGTAGAAAGAGCAGTGCTGCTACGACAGGTACCATTATGCCCGAGGCAGCGATGCCCCATTTTGCCACTGCGCAACGAGTCGGGTATAGCAGATCACCTCGACCTGATAGTAGCGGTAGCGTTGCCACTGACGACCTGAAACGTTCTCTCCAGAGGCGTGAAAGTAGTGGGCACGCCAGCACTATAAGTACCGACTCTAGGGCCCCAAGTTCGCGATGGGGGAGCGTCATCAGTGGCTTATGGAGCCAACGGCGCCAGGAGACTACGAGTATGGGTTCTCTTAGCCAGTTCAGTGAACCGAGATCTCCTATCAAAGCGCGGCCCGACAGGAGGGATAGGCTTTCGCAGATGGCTGAAGAGGCAGCCAGGTTCGAAAACTCCGTTGCCGTCGACTTTGAACCCCAAGAGCCCTCCCATATTCCCACTGTTGATCAACAGCGCAGGGGCAGTGCTCGCGACGAGCGAATCTCGTTCAGTCAGGCCGACCGCAAGACCATATATGACTCCCCCGTCAAGACATCAGTCAACGAAGATGACGGTGTCATTGATGTTGATTTTCCATTTCCAGATTATATTGCCTCCTTTGAGTCGGCTATCAGCTCGCCCTCAAGTAGTGGCTATCTCTCTACACCTGGCGTAGCTGCCGGGCTCGATTCCTTTGAACAATCTTCTAGGACCCTTTCCGAGGGAGATTTACTTTTGAATGCCGTCGGCTGGCTCAGCCGTTTCCACCCGGACTTCGCCTTGCAAGCAATCCCCCCACAAGATGATCTCGTGGACCAAGTGAAGGCTACTCTTCGGGCTGAACCAACGCCTGGGTTTTCTAGTACCACTCCACATACAAATTGGAATGAGCGATGGGTTGATGTTAGCAGTGCAGTCATCGCTGACACCACGACCAACACTGTACGCCGTATCCACTACCGGCGGTTGGTAAAGCCACGAGTTACAGAAAAGATAAGAGGCGGGCCGCCACATCTTCCCGGCTCTTCTGCTGCCGCATCTCAGGCATTTTCATTACCTCTCGAAACTCAATTAGACGAAGAGTTCATTGAGGAGATGATTTCGAAGCCGGAGCCGAAGTTGGTCGAAGCCATTGATAAAGTCTTAAGTCAAGGCTTAGATCTGCTGGCTAAAGATGGAGCTGCAGCCTCCTTTATTCTACCAGACGATATTCACGGTGGTAGTGATAGCGACAACACAATACCAGCTGCAATTGACGCTTCGGGCCAGCATACAAGGCCGTCTATTGACATGCCTCGCGTTCAGTGTAAAACGATTGTGCTATCCGCATTAGAAGAAGTTATACGAGACGTCGTTAGCCGCCAGGATACATTGAGCAATGAGGGCAAGCCCAAAGATATGAAAGCTCGTCAGAATGCTCTTCGCGGAGCCGTTCGTGAATGGGTGGCAAGCCTCGATGCGATTGAGTGATCCAAGAAGTTACCCACGGCGGGATAAATGTCATTACCTGACCCGAGGGCGGGTGTTGGGACTGGACATCGGCTCCTTCCGTACAAACCAACCTATTTTTCCTTTTAATTTTTTCTTGCAAGAGAGGTCGGAGTTTTGTTTTTGAGTCATTTCTTGTATTGTCAGCGGGACCTGACCGATACCCCTGGGCGTGCTTTTTTCCATTTTTCTCATTTTCCATTTATCTCTAGATGCGTCTATCTATGAGCCGATGTTGCTAAATTTGGCATGAGGTTTTGCTCCCTTCTTTTCCTTCCACGAACCTACCGCGTACGATGTGAAGTAGCTTGTTCTGAATTCACTGGAATATAGAAGACTAAGCGAGCGGGACATACCTTGTGCATTGTATTACCTCGGGACTTAGTCTCGATTTTTCAGTTTACTTTGTGTGGTATCTATGACATGACTCCAGTTTTGATTGAGAGGGGTGGGATAGAGTCTGTTGACATGATATTTTAATTAATGAAGCAACGATCATGATATCTACAACTAATGTGTCTTGGTAAATTGCTAGCTTAAAATTTCCTCTTAGACGGGCGAGCATTCTTTGCTTTCCTCCTGTCTTTCTCGTCTCTGGCCTTCCTGATATCCGTAATTCCCTTGATCTCCTTCTTGCTTCCGTCGCCGTCTCTGAACCTGCCGATGCGCTTCTCCCGCGCCTCGTCGACCCGTTTCTTCCGTACTCTGAAGTCATCACGGTACTTGTCCGCCTCCTTGGGCGCCTTCTCCTGCTTATGCTTGTACCGCGCACCGGAAGGCAGCTGGCTCGAGGCGCCGGGGCGCTCGAACTCGCCGACGCGGGGCATCTTGCCGATCCGCTGGGCGCGCTTCCACCTGTCGAAGCGGCCGCTCTGGAAGCTCGCCGCGATCTTGACGCCGCTCTCGCCGACCACCATCTTGGCGCCCTTGGAGCCGTCCTCGTCGTTGTCACGGGAGACGTACTTGCGCGACTTGGAGTCCCAGCGCATCTTGGACCGCGTGGGGACGCCGAAGGACTTGGCCGTCTCGTCGTTGGTGAAGTCCATGGTGGCGTCACGGGCGGCCTCGACGAAGCTGGAGCCCGCGCCGCCCGAGTGGACGCCGTAGCCGCGCTCCTCGGCCGAGTTGATGGTGCGGGGCGTGTAGGACATGAAGACCTCCGAGTCTCGCCAGTCCGTCTTGCCCTTGTTCGAGGCGCTGGTGTTCGAGACGGTCACCTCGAGTCCGTCGTCGTCGTCATCGTCATCGAAAGCCCCGATACCCGCTTCTTCCATCTCCTCATCCGAGTTGTCTTCGTTTTGCATAGTTGTGACTCCATCAAACTCCTCATCGTCCTCGTCCTCGTCCTCGTCCTCGTCCGCCTTGACCCTGTTCTTCGGCGTAATCTTTTGCCTTATGTTCCTCATGACTTCTGCGGCGCGGCTCTTCCCCTTGTCACCGTGGCTGGCTTCGAAAATGGTCTCGTTCGGCCTGTAGCCGCTGATCACCGCCAGCATGTTTGCGCGCGCCTGCTCGCTCCCGTCGGCGTCTTGGTCGCCAAACACGGGGTGGAGCTGCATCCAGCCGTTGGACTTTACCATCTCGCGCGCCCGCTTCACGCTCTGGCTTGCCGCCGAGTTTCTCGTCTTCATATAGAGCTTCTCGGCCTTGCCCGCAACCTTGCGGAGGGCGTTGATGTCCTCGATGTCCTTGAGGATCTTGTTCAACCATTCGACGTTGACTTCGACGTTGTCTCGCTTCAGCGCGCCGACCACAACGTCTTCGGTGAAAGAAGGCGCAGGTTCCTCCCGGCCAACAACTAACCTCTTGCCAAGGAAAAGCTGAAGATCAATGAGGTAGGGGGCATCGATGTCTCTTACGAGACTGTAACTCCATCCCTGCCGGCCGGCACGGGCGGTACGACCGACTCGATGGACGAAGATTTTGGGCTGGGTTGGGAAATCGTAGTTGATGACGTTGGCGAGCACTGGGATATCGACACCACGAGCGGCGACATCTGTGACAACGAGAATGTTTGTCTTGCCGTTCCGGAAATCTTCGATTTGGATTCGACGGGCTGTCTGATCTAGGGAACCGTATACGTGGGACACGGCAAATCCTGATTCTCGAAGTAGAGTGGCAACATACTCGACATGATGTTTCGTAGCCGTGAAGACGATTGTCGAGTGCTCTGTTGGCTTCTCAGGCCCTCGCTTTCGCTTCTTGGAACCCTTGTCATCGGTATCGGCTGCCGTGGCCGGGGGACCCAGTGGCACTTTGATGATATCGTAGAGAATATGCAGGAGGCACCCTTCCTTCTCGGCACCTTTGACCGAAAAGAATGCGCTCTCCAGATCTGGGGAGACCTTTGTCTCTGCATCCAGTCTGATGAGGCTGGGATCCTGAAGACCGGCGCGGGCGAATTCCACCAAAGACGCTGGTAAAGTTGCAGAGAATAGCAGTGTTTGTCTGGACGGAGGTAGAGCGTGGAGGATTTCGGTCAATTGGGCAGCAAAACCCATTTCGAAAAGCCGATCAGCTTCGTCGAAAACCACATACTGAATAGAGGAGAGATCGAGCGACATTTCGACTTTCAAATGAAGGAATCGACCGGGGGTTGCAATCACAATGTCGGGGTTCGCCGTCATGAATCCAAACTGCTCCTCCAGACTGTCACCACCAACCAGCAACACGCACTTGAGATCGGTTCCTCGGCTGAATTCCTTGACGACCTTGAGCGTTTGGATGGCCAGCTCGCGGGAGGGGGACATGATGAGAGCCCGAGCGCCAATCTTGGCGCTGTGCGCTCGCAGCCTCTCAATCATCGGGATCACGAACGCCGCCGTCTTTCCGGAACCTGTTCGAGCCATGCCGACCACATCTCGCCTGTCGAGAACAAGAGGGATCGTTTTTCGCTGAATCGGGGTCGGGACCGAGAATCCCTTTCGTGTGATGGCTTTGAGAAGGTTTGCATTTAGACCTGAGGGAGGGGAACTGTTAGCGACAAGGAGAAAGCTGGATTTCGATGTTTTGACGACGCACCCATTGCCTGAAAGCCTCCGCCTTTCTTCACCGTTTTCCCCTTCAAGTTAGACGCTTTGCGGTAAGAGGCAGCTTGCTGCAGCGCGATAAAGGCTTCATCTCCATCGGAATCATCCCCCGTCGGGCCATTGATCAGGTTATCAAAGTCGACATCTTGATTCGTCGGGACGGCTTGGTCACCATCGTCGCCGGGGTAGAGGGAGCCTAGGATATCAATCTCCCCTTCTGATGGAGTGGGAGATGCTCCGTGGTGAGGCATCGTCGGTGCTAAGAACGGCAGGGGCTGTTCTGGTGTGAGTGGTGGGAGTGGCTATTGTTGAAATCAACCCAACTACCCGTCTTAACATAAGTCTCTGGACTCTCACCTCTGGTCAAGGATATTTTTTTTTCGGACTGGTCGCTGGGTCTTATCTTATCGTCGCGGGGCAGGTGGGTCGCTCCGGGGTCCAGAAGAAGCTTGCTTTGGGAGCCGGACATGCGACCAGTCTCAAGCCGGATTCCATCTTATGGGCGACTGCACATTCCGTTGCTCTTCTCTCAACCAACCCACCTCTGTTTTGCGACTGCGCATCGAGCGTCCTGCGGTGTATTGACCCAATAAAACAATTGGGGTTGACATTAGTTCTACTATGGCCACTGAAAACGCCAAGGAGGACCGAGACGCTCTTGATGCGCTCGAGCTTGAGGCCAAGGAGTTTGATAAGGTAAGCTGCGAAGTCATCTCTTGCCCGATCTCTGCTAATCTATGGAACAGGATGCCGAAATAGATAGAATTTTGAATGCATTTCGCTTAGATGCGTAAGTCGCTCCTATATTCCCCTCACTCTCCCCTGCGCGGCGCATGCGCTCCGTCATCGCTTTCTCTAACCGCCCCATAGGTATGCGGTGCTAGATCTCCAGCCCGGTATCACCGAAAGTGATATCAAGGCCTGCTACCGAAAGAAATCCCTACTGATCCATCCGGATAAAACAAAGAACCCCCGAGCCCCCGATGCGTTCGACCGGTTGAAGAAGGCCCAGACGGAGCTGATGGACGAGAAGCACCGCGAGCGCCTGGACGAGGCCATCGCCGACGCGCGCATGCTACTCATCCGCGAGAACAAGTGGACGGTCGACAGCGAGGAGCTCAAGACGGACGACTTCGCCAAGAAGTGGCGTCTCAAAGCCCGCGAGGTCCTCATCGACAACGAGCACCGCCGCCGCCGCCAGATGAAGGCGCAGCTTCAGGAGGAGGGCCGGGAGCAGCGCCGGCAGGATCAGGAGCTGGAGGAGAGGAAGCGGAAGAGGCAGCACGAACAAGACTGGGAGGCCACACGGGATGAGCGCATCAGCAGCTGGCGTACGTTCCAAAAGGGCAAGTCTGGTGATGGCTCGGAGAAGAAGAAAAAGAAGAAGCTCAAGCCAATTGGGTGAGCGAGGCGGTATGATTAGGTGATGGAATTCTACTTTTGGAGTTAAGGCGATTTACAGGTTGAATTTGGGCGAGCAGCATTGGTATTTCTCTTGCTCCTGACCTCTGCTCTGGTCCAAGCATATACGTACGTAGATAGAACATGGCAATGTGTGAGAAGCACTAAGCCTGTCAGACAGCGATGAGATCAGCCCCCGAAAGGGCGACACGGCAATAGACATGTTATGCACTGTATCATATGACTCTTTGATTTGGTTGAATGCCATTGCCCATAACAATATTCTCACTCCTGGTAGCTATGTACGAGTTGGCAAAGTGAAAGTCTTTAGATACGATCTGAGTTATGGTTGATTTGGCAGGAGGAGAGTGGCCTGTATTGTACTTTTACATCGCTTCTCCCTCTATCTATAATACAGTGCCTAAATAGCTTGATAAATATATGTATACAAGTTGAGGTGCGCTTGGATTCGCCACCGACGCCAGAAACAGAATATTCAACCTTTTTTTTTTTACAAACACCGGCAAATGCAGCCCCTCCGCCCAAGTCTATACGTCTGGTTTCTCCTCGCTCAATAATGTATGTATTTTTTGTTTTTGTTTGCAAGGGTTAGCTGGAACCCGGCTTCTTGCTGTCATTGCTGTCATCAGTCTTCTTTGCCTTGTCATCAGAGTTAGTGCTGGATCCCTGTCCTTCCTCTGCATTATGCTGGTGTGCTGGATGGTTGGTGAAATTGTGCCACATGGATTTGAGGAAACCCTCGTCCTTGTGAGCATCTGCCGAAGTCGAGTTGCTAGAGGAAGGAATCAGTTAGGCTGGGAACGTCTGACGTGAGACTCTAGGCGAGAGAGTCTTACCTCGAAGATGAGACGTTCATGACACGCTTGGCCGTCTTGTCACCCATCTCGTCCGCTAGCATCTCCACTATCGTTCGTTGGTTCGCGCTCAGGTATTTTGGCATGTTCACCTTGAACTCGACCCTTAGGTCACCAGAGCCTCCCCTGCGAGCACCGAGCCGCTTCATGCCCATCCCGGCAAGGGTCATCTTGTCTCCAGTGTTGGTTCCCGTTGCAACCTTGACGTTGACTTCTCCGTCAAGAGTTGGCACGGCCACTTGACCACCCAGAAGAGCCGTGGTAAGGGGAATGGTGGCCGTGTAGAGGATGTTGGATCCCTCTCTTCGGAACTTGGGGTCTTTGGCAACTCGGACGAAGACGTACAAGTCTCCCCGCTGGGTCCTTACGTGAGGATCAGCGGTTTTTCCTGTTACGGGAGCATCACCTGCTCCGTCAACACGCAGCCGCATCCCGTCTTCGATACCGGCGGGGATGTCAACGGTGATTGTTTTGCGTTCTCGGACTACTCCATGGCCCGAGCAACTCCGGCACTCCGAGCCTCTAGGAATGGTTGTGCCTGTTCCCTCGCAAGTTCCACAGGTTGATGCCATTTGGAACCCGCCTTGCATGAAGTGCACCCGGGTACCAGTACCGTTACAGGACTTGCAAGGAGATCGCTGGGTTCCAGCCTTTAGGCCGCTTCCGTCGCAAGTACCGCAAGGAACCTGAGGCGTCAGGTTGATAGTCTTGCTCGTTCCCTTAGCAGCCTCCATGAAGGTAATGCTTGCTTGAACCTCCACATTGTCACCGACCAGAATTTCCTGCTGGAAGGGACCCGAACGGCCTCCCCGTCGCCCTCCGAAGGGTCCGCTTTGTTGGCCGGTGAAGGCTGAGAAGATATCGTCGAAGTTGAAGCCTCCTCCGAAACCACCCTGAGCACCGCCGAAACCGGAGAAGGGGCCTCCAGCTCCGCCGAAGGGATCACCACCTGGTGCACCGGCTCCGCTTGGATCGAAGCCGGCAGCGCCAAAGGTATCGTACTGCTCCTTCTTCTTGGGGTCGGACAGAATCTCGTATGCGGACTGGATGTCGCCAAACTTCTCCTTCGCAGATGGGTCCTTGTTCGTGTCCGGATGGTACTTCTTCGCCAAGCCATAGTATGCCTTCTTGATTTCGGCGGCTGAGGCACTCTTGCTGACACCTAGGGCTTGGTACGGGTCTTTCTGACTGAGGACGTTGGTGGTATGGAAGGTCTGGACGGGACGGGAGCTGTTAGCTATTGTATTACCAATCGCATTCCTAACATGCGGCAACTTACTCGCTTGAAAGAGGGGGTTTTCGGACTCAACGCCGGGCAGGGGCCAGGCCGCTTTGAAGCTCTGATGGAAAAGCTGGCCGTGTGAAGCTTTGCGCTGCTCCGCCCGCAGTCTCGGAGCTTGGTCTGTCTGCCCAACTGGCGGCGGGAGATGGCACGGGCGGGCGCCACGGCCTTGGTGAAGAAAGTCGTATTCATCTTGAGGTCCAATGATTCGCCTGGCTCCTTGAGGAAACCGAGAGCGTCTAATTAAATAGCCAATCTGGCCTCGATGGTTTTAGTCCAGTCGCTTCCCCAGAAATTCTTTGAGGTTCGACAAGCCAATCCCGAAATTTTCGGTGGATGCCTCAGGCTGCCATGCCGTCATAAGCCGAACCTACCCAGTAAAATCATCACGGCCGATAGGACGAAGATAATCACATATCCGAGCCGCCTCACTGGGGCGGCGGGAACTAGGGGCAGGCTTGTTGCTCTGCAGTTGTCAGGAGAGCGGCATCTGCTGGGAATTGAATTGGTTTGCAAGTTGCAACTTGCATTCGACTCTCTTCTGCTTTCTTTTCTTTTCTCGTTTCTTCACGGATCAAAAACTGTGCCTTGCGGTCCCAGCCTTTTGATTACTATTTTTGTCGACAGAGCACTGAGGTGGACCAACATAGGATGCAAAGATGTTTATTCTCCTGGGAGGAGGCACTGCGTCCGGGCAGCAAGCAACAGACGAGATATATACCGAGATGCTATGTTCGTGCAACGACCTTGCGTATCTATTAACTGACCCGGTTGACCCTGAAAGGAAAAAAAAAATTGAAAATAACACCATGGAGAGAATAAGGCTGCTCCAACCACCGGTAACGCCTGACGCTCTTAACAATGCATAGTCGAAAATCAAAATCTGGATGGGCGCTGCTCTAATCCTCCGTAATGATGCTATGATTGGCGGAGCCGCGCAGTTTGGATGCGTTCTCGCTCCTTACTTTGTAAACCAGGTCGACGATGACATCGTTCTCGTGGATGCCCAGGCCATTGAAGTGTTTCCGCACAGCCATGGCGAGCTGCTCTCGGTTCTGTCGTATCTTTTTCCGCCGTGCCATGGTCGGGGAGTATATGCCGATACTGCCTGGTCGCACGAATATCGTTTGGTGGAAGGTGCTGGTGAAGGAGCTGGGCGTGTTGAGTTGGTGTTCGCGACGGTATGCGTGGAGAGCGTCTCGGTCGAATCCAGACCATTGAAGCTAAGTGAGCCTGTTAGTGATGAAGAAAAGAGTAGATACTGCATGAGAGCATGAGGAGGAGGGGTAGGGAGGGACGAGGAGTGGTCACGTACACTGGGAGCGACGGGCTCAGTGGGTGGCAGCTCGGGGATGACAGGAGCAGTGGCGTTGACCGTTTTCTGGTGATTGGAGCCACCTTGCTGGCTGGTGACCCGGCGCATTTTGGTGGATGAGTGATTCGATCCGTTCTTCTCTTTGGCATTGGGAGTCTCAGATTTGGAGTCGTCGTGGTTGCGGGAGGACTTGGCGGGAGCCATGGCGAACGAAGGATGTCGGCTGGCGATCAGCAGCGTTGCGATAAAGTCGGCTGGTCGAGTGCAGCAGTGAGAACCAAGAAGCGTAGAAAGCAGACGGAGCCGGATTGCATGTTACAAGGGATTCTGTGGTAGTCCGCGGGCATGTCCGGTTGAATGGGTAGTGTTGGGGAGAGAGCCGCCGTGAGAGCATGGGACAAAGGAAGCGAACGACCGGAGGTGGTTCGGCGTTCGATCAGGCGCACAAAATTGGCACGCGCGCAATAATTAATTGGGAGGAGCGCGACGTCACACTCTAAAACGGCGGGGTACCTCCCTTTGGCGCGTAAACACCCAATAAAGCGAAGTACCTCACCTGCAACGTCTGCCGTTGAGCTAGCCGACCTGATTGGTGCGTCTCCGTTCGGCTTCCCCACTGCCTGTATTAAGGGACCTGACGACTTCTTCAGTGGCTCTCTTCTTATTCCCCGCCAAGTGGATGCTCTTTTCGCGTAAGACAGAGGCCTCTTTCTTTACTTAACACAATAATAAGAGAATAATTTATTATACTATGATATTTAGCTTGATATTGTATTATTGCCAGGTTGATCATTTTGATATTGTATTGAAATTAAACGCTGAAGTTTTTAGATATGTCAGTCGCTTGCCCGGCTAAGGGTGGTTGAAAATGGACCCCTGATTTTCGACTGTCTTTGAAAGAAGAGCGAGAAAGATATTAAAATATAATGACTCGACAGAAAAAAAAAGAAGAAAGAAGAAGAAATAGGCACTTGAGAGCATGTATTTTCAATATTTTACTAGGGAGAGACAAGGCTGCTCATGGAAGTCAGGTACCACTTCCTAGCAGCAAGCACCTACCATTTCCCAAGTACCCTTCACCCGCAGATATGCTGCGATGATTTGTTGAAAGACACTCCGCGTGGCAGATATTCTACTCTTCCTAGCAAATATCCTCCCATTCTGTTACCTCCAAATACGGCGGAGCCTCTTCGGAAACGCATTGACGGACTGAGTTATTCCAATCGAGGTAGATTGTTAAGACGTGTCTGGCATGGAGCATTTTTGGTACCTATCGACGCAACACATTTCCTAGCCATTTTTTGAATGTGTGTCATGAATTTTGCTTGAAAATACTACGCATCAAAGTAGCAAGAAGAGCAACAGATAATTTCCGTTCAAGAATGCTTAGATTCCCACAAAAAGCCCCCCAGCTGCGTTCATTTTCGGAGAGGGCCGTGGCCTGTGGGCATGAATCGAGATATCTTGCGAGCTGCCGCAAGCGAATAGCTTAGATTGCTTGGCTCGAGGTTCTAGGCATTGCTGAGCTGTCATCTGATCGAGCTTTGGTAAGGTCCTTCCATGGTAGGCAATCTGGATCGTCATGGGTTCATGATATTCGTCATCTTGATACTATGTCTGGTTCGGCGGTCTTCATTGATATCGGTGACTGCATTGACGTTGATAGGTGATGGCGAAGTTGTAAAGACACATTAAGATCTTGTAATGAGAACATGGACCTTACGACGGACTCTGTCTGTTTATTATACGCCCGATTTACGTATTAATAATTTGGGGATGGGGGTTCCCGCCTCCCATTGCCCGTAGCCGCGCTAACCCCCACGCCTTTGATCTACTGAAGACTTGGCGAGCTTGCAGCTTAGAGTAGGACCTGATCTTTCATGACGATTTCCCATGTGCAGCTCAAAATAGGACGGATAGACATGGGGATCGCGCATCTGTTGTACAGCCTTACGCCCAGCATGCAATTGTGTCTCCATCGCATGAGCCCAGACATGGTGGGTGAGATGAAATGTCTCGCCCAGCCTGTGATCCCAATACGGTCACTAGACCGTACATGACACAGACCTACCCCAGCTAACCTGGTTGGACTTTGGATTTCCCATAACACCAATAGCCTCTTTTCTTCTTCCGTCGACCTGCAGTCGCTAGACTACACTTGACTGGTGTGGCTGTAAGGACAGCCAGTTATAGCCAGCCAAGGGAGCCGCGACACAGAGGACCCCAATCATAATTAAAGAGGCCCGCGGAGATTGTTCACCCAGAACGCTGAGAGCAGGGCGCGCACCAAGGCTGCAGGAAACTGTTCAGCCAAAGGCCCAGAACCTCGGGGTCTGCATCTCTTTCTCCCCGTGGCAGCATCGAGCATCATTCCTGGAATCATCGTCCCCCAAGTGAAGCTGCCCACCTCCTGTATGTGGTTGGGACGACTTGGCCATCCGCACCAAACATGGCTGGGGTGGTCTGAGGGATGGAGGCTGCAGGCAAGGATACGTGAAACCGGGTTCTTATGAATACCACCTACACCGAGGGCAGGGTCGCATTGCTTGGCAGTTAAACGCTTGATCAGAGCTAGCTTCTCAGCCTGCCAGATGTCATCGAACCGTACATCGAAGCCGTGAAGCGTGAAAATTCTCCCCCTCGGCAGCGGCCGCCTCCGTCTCGCCTCCTCCCATCTAGCATCCAGCCGCATTCTGAAGGTGATGTGCCGAAGCGCACGTTGGCGCCCTTGGATAGGCTGGAGAGGTCTCCATGTTACACAAGCTCTGTGCATGAGGGAGGCGCTATGCACGCCTATGAGACAGCTAAGGCACTGTACCTTGGGGGTGGCAGCACGGCTGGCCCCCAAGTACCGGGTACATCGATGAGGTTCAGGGCAAGATGCGTCCCGAAAAGGGTCTTCGGTAGGAACGCACCTCGTTACGAAGGAGCTCATCTTCATGGAGCTGCCCTTACACTCCCTCTCATATTAACTCAAACTATTGCAACATTATGCGTCCGTTCCATCCCCGAGTCGCTGGCAACGGGTTGAGATGCATGACTGCCATCATGGTGTGCACTACGTACTACACTCACTTCCTATGGGTGTGCCGCGTGCAGGGTGTCGCCTGTCTACAATATGCATGATGAGCATGCAGTCACATCCGGATTTCGTAGTCCACCCTGCGGCCGGAAAGCCGTCCACAGATCGCTCTGCTTTCATTAGGCCAGCACCGATTGGGAGTTGTCAAATGGTAATGTCATAAGGAGAAAGGAGGGGCAGAGCATCGTTAGTCGCATCGTGGAGTGATATAGATATCATCATGCCTGGGCCGGCTCGATTAGGTCGGTCCTAGGGACCTTCCGCTCAGGAATCCCGTGATGATTCGTGCTCTATCCTCCTTTAGGGAACGGTGAGGCCTGTGATGGGGTGCGATGGTGTCCGCCCCAATATGACGGGTGGATATTGCATGGACTGTTGCAATGTATTGCAAGGATAGAACAGGGTTCTCCAAAGTTGTGTCTTCTCCATTGGCGGCACCCGATATTACCTCTTGTGTATGCACTGGCAAGCAAGCAAGTTTGAATCATGACTGCCGACTAGCGACGCTTTGGAGGACTGAACTGAGGGAGGGAAGACGTCAGGGGGGGTCTGAGCTACATGATGTGTAATATTACAAGAGACCAACGCACACCCACGTTGCCCTCCATCCGGTATCGCCTTGCGCAACCTCATGAATTCTCATACTTGCCATTAACCAACCAGTAGGCGACAAGGTCATCTAGAAGCCCCAATGACCCCCACTGAAGCCATCTACCTGGGATGCATCCCACTCCTTCCCCAGGATTTCCGCAAGACAACTCGACAGAACGAGTATTGATGGATGCAAGGGATTCCCACAACCCATGCGATCTATGTATATGAGATTGTTCCCCAGACGATGAACCACATTGGAAAGGGATGAACTGGTTGGGTACATGTTGAGTGGGTAAGGTGGCCATAGATGCAACCATTAAAGCATGTAGTCATGTAAGAACACCCCGCTGGGTGGCAGTCTGGCGCCATGAGCTTGGCAGAAGGCATGTAATCTCTGGTTGTACTCAGGGCCGAGCCGGGAGGTATGCTTCTCTTCGACGCGTTGCGCCCTTTCGAGACATAATGCCTGTCCATCCCAATAATACGAAACTGCAAGTAGATGCTCTTGGTACCATCTCCACTCTTGACAGCCGCATGGCTCAGACCTCAAGCCAACATAATACCCGGCTCTCGTAGTGGATGGCCTTAATGAGCGGATGTCACGGAATGTGAAGAGGGAGGGCCTCTCACACATGCTAAAGGAAGTGATCGTTAGGTCGTGAACATGCCACTAGTCAGGCATTTTCTCTCAAAAACCTCGGTTGACCTTTTTAGTCGACTGGTGATAATATTAGTAGAGGAAAATCAGTTGATGACCAACACCATGGTGTCATGCTATGTTCATCACTCCAGCACTACTGCGTCCTCCCAACGATAGCGGACAGGGATATCAACCTTTCTTTTTCTTGAGCTGGTCGCTAGTTGAGACATGCGTGTAATCCTAACCATGTGACTCGATCGAAAAAAACGTAGCCCGCATTAGCCTCAGCTTCGAGAAAAATGCTCAAGCAAGCTGACGCCAGACGGAATGCCCTGTCTCTGGCCAGCCGAGAACAGAAAGAGCTATCAGAAATCGGACGGGTCCCAGACCAGGGACAGGTGTGCCTATCACTTAGGTCTTACGATAATCCACGATCTGGCTGCTGGTCGTGGTTAGTGGATGTCGGGCCTGCTTGCCTGCCAACGGCGAGCCGAGCAAACTCAATTCGCAATAGCCTTTGGCTCTGCAGTCAGAAAGCCATGTCTCCAAGCGGACGGCTGCATGGCTTCCATGTATGTGTGTGGCTAGAAAAGAACCATTCCAGCTCGACTGCCCTGCCCAACTGGCTGAGAGCTGAACAAGCGATACCCAGCAGTAGCCGATACCTTATTCGCACCGTTATTTCGTCGGGAGCTCATGTACAGGTTCAGAGGCCCACATCCCGCCCCCAGGTCGGTCTCCTATTAGGTACTGGGCGGAGAAACTGCGTGCAGCCTGGACGCAAGTACATGTACCTCATCCGAGTGCCCCAGCCCGCTGCAATGCTCCCCAAATGTACCGCTACCAGCGTCCCTCCTCAGCGACGGGATGGCGGACAGTCGCTCTGTGCGTGGCGTCTTAGCGGCGAAATGCCCGCTAGCGCCTGGTGCCCCCCGGTGTCCCCGCCCTCTCCAGGTCCACTGGAGATTAGTAGCATCCCCACCCGTGCTCTTCCACTGGGGAGACTGGTATTAGTGCGCGGCGCTGCTCAGGCGAACCAAACGGTGTTCTCTTCCCCCCAAAAGGCTGGGCTAGCAGAAAGTACGTGCAGTACTGCCTGGGAAGAAACCAGGATCCCGTTACATTTTCCCGCAACCTGCCTGGACATGGGAACGAAAAACCTGGAGGGTTTCGGCTTCGGTTCTATTATCATATAGCATCGCCCTCCATTTTCACCCCTCTTCCTCCCTCGTTCTTTCAGGAACATCGTCGCCGCCGCTTGATGAACTATTGCTGAGGTGCTCTGGGCTGCGAGCGCGCTGAGCCCCTACATCACTCCTCTGTGCTGCGCTCTGCCTTGCGACAACCGTGACAGCCACGTCCCGGTGATTGAGCTGTGCCTCTCCCGAGAGTTGGGTCTCTTCTTTGATGCGCCATGGTTGATTCGCCGCTCTCCATTTAAGCTGGAGGGATTGAACATTACCAGCCGGGCCCGAGATTCACTGGCGACGACCGTTCCTCGGCTGGAAGAATCTTCCAAAATTGTTGCGCCCAACTTGATTGCGCCTCCTACCTGCTCGCCTCTCATCGGACCATATTTGAAGTGCACTAAGAAACTGAGAAACGCTGCATCTCCCGCCTCAACGACCGCGTCGTCTCGGTGGTGCTGGTTGATCAAACCAGTCCTTTAGCCCCCATTATTTTTCTCTTTCCCCCCTTTCCTGATAATATTATTTTTTAAATCTCATCCTCTTATCGTCGCCAGCATGGTTATGGTCACTACCCAATTTCGCGATACCAAGCTACAATTGCCCCTCTCCCCGGCAAGCACGACAACATTAGGACCCCCTCACGATTTCCCTGTAGGCTCGCCGGTGGGCATGATGGACGCCTCGATGGGCTTAGGCAGCCACACCATGGAGAGCGTCCCCATTAAGCATGAGGACAGCATGGATGGCCAACCTGAGGGACGGAACGGCGTCTCTCCTAACTCAGATGAGCCAGTTCGAAAAAGGAGACGGAGCCGTAAAGGGCTCGACAAGAGGTTTGAATGCACAACCCCAGGATGCGGGAAGAGCTACTCCCGTGCCGAACATCTGTAGGGCTTGATCCTTTCCTGTCAGAACTACCCCAAAGACCCGAGATACTAACAAGAGGCGCAGATATCGTCACCAGCTCAACCATAGCTCCAAGCAAATATTCGAGTGCCAGTATCCAAATTGCGGGCGCACCTTCGTCCGCAGTGATTTGCTCAAGCGACACATGGATCGACACATGGCAAAGGGCTCCCAGCTTAGTCGGCGTGACTCGGTTATCAGCCATGTGTCCCAGTCGGCAGCAGCAACAGGGTCGACTTCTCCTGACACTAACCGAGTGACACCCGTGCTGCCAAGAGCAGTGTCAGTAACTGATTACCTCCCATCACATGAGGTATCGGACGGCTCTCCAACCACCACAACGCACCCGCCGTTTGCTTTTGAGTCGCATCACAATGGCGTGTCCGGCCATGATATGGATTCCTATGGCGATCCTTCGGGTTACCAAAATATGCACCAACAACACGCCCCTCACTCGCCCATCGTAACGCCTCATGGCCCAGTCCCGGTGTATCCGATAACCTCGCCTGCGCCCCAGTATGATCGGTATGATGAGCAATTGGACTCATCACAGTTCGTCCCCCAGCAAGCAGTGATACCCTTTACCCTCCCCCCGTCTCAGTTCGTCAATGTACCTCAGACCGAAGACGGCACGTACTCATCGAATCTTGACTATTCGGAACATCCGCCTTCGGATGAGATGATGATGTTGGGGAACATGGCGCTGCAGTCAATGCCCATGTTTGGGACGGATGGTGAAATTGCTAAATCGCCCTACGCTGGCTTGCCGGAAGATTTCCTTACCTTTCTTTTCAACAACTCTCCACCTGGCCGACAACCTGCGCTGAGCAAGGAGGAGGTACAAGCATATAACGAGTGAGTAATATCATGTCGACCCAGATATAGATCTTGATGTAAACGTAGAACCAGCCATTGCTAACCTTGAATAGAAACTATGCAAAGATACTCAATTCCCAATTCACCGCGGTCAATAGGCCAGATCTGTCAGCTCTAGGTTACTCTCCAGCCCCCCAGCAACTTATGGCTGTGAATACATTGTTAGGGCAGGTCCCAGAGTCAACCATCTCAGATTCCAAATGCGAAGAGATTCAGAACCTCGTCCGAAGTACTTTCCGCTCGAAACCAGGCGATCCCGATGACCGTCGTTTCGATGACTTGTTTGATGGTGGAGTAATTACGGACGACCACATGCTAAGTAAGAGGATGATGCAGCTATACATTGCAACTTACTGGGCGCAGTTCAGTGACCAAATGCCAATCCTCCATCGGCCTACCTTCTCGCCTGATAACACAGAAAACCTTCTCCTCCTTTCGATGATGATAATTGGCGCCGCGTTGCTGGATAGAAATCACGGAGCCAAAATTGTTCGCGCAGGAGCCAAACTCTCCAACTTCCTAGCGTGGCACCTGCGGTGGGCGATTTTCATGGCCGGCGACTTCCACCCACCCGCGAACCTGTTCGTGTTTCAGGCAATGATTCTTCTTGAGCTGTATGAGAAGATGTATTCAACGAGAGAACTACATGAGCGGGCACATATCCACCATGCGACAATGATACAACTGATGCGCCGTGGCCGGTGTCTGATTGGGAAATCTGCATTGGACTCGCCGCCCAACCCGGTCGACAGTGCGAATGGCTCGCGCCAATCTTCAACGTGTGGGATAGCGCAGACGGCAGAGGAATGGTGGCACCAGTGGATTGTGAACGAGGCTACCAGAAGAACTGCCTTTGCTGCATTCATTATCGATTCAATTCATGCAACAATGTTTGGCCACTCAGGGGTCATGGTCGCTCATGAGATGAGACTGCCGCTTCCATGCGATGAATCGCTATGGCGGGCTACCAGCAGCGCCGAGGTTGGAAAGCTGGAGTCGAGCCTCATGGCCAGGGGAATCAAGCCCGTGTCCTTCCTGGATGGCTTGAAGCGCACGTTAACTCACCAGACAGTGCAGACAGACTCCTTTGGGCGAACTGTTCTCATGTCGGGTCTGCTGAGTGTCACCTGGCATATGCATCAAAGGGATCTCCAGATCAATATGCTGGGTGGAGGGGTTTCAACCTCATTAGGTGGACGTGACAAGTGGCGGGCTACACTTACGAGGGCCTACGATGGGTGGAAGAACAATTATGATCAGTCCCTGGAGGAAATGGTCACGTCAATGGGTCCGTATGAGCCGGACGAGGCGACCCAGCATGAGATCAATGTGGCTTTTGAAAACCGAACGGTAATGCACCGGCTGGCTCACATTGCCATGCACGCAGACATTGTGGACCTGCAGATGTATGCGCGGGCAAAGAGGCTATTGGGTCGCTCCATTGGTCCACACGAATTCAACAGTGCTTCACGACGGATCAAGGACGCCTGGGCCCCGTCTGCGCGAGCGCGTGATGCAATGTGGTATGCTCTAAAATTTCTGTGCTCAGTCTTGATTCCAGATGCCGTTGCGCCGACACACATCAAGACGTATCGCACAACGAAACCCTACAAGGCCAAGGACGATGTCTTGCTCAATCGTCCGTGGGTTCTCTATTTCGCTGCTCTCGTTGTTTGGTGCTACGGGTACGCTCTGGAAGGTCCATGTCCAGATGCCCCTTATCCAACAAACGATAAAGAAATGATGCAGCAGATGCGGGAGTATCTCATCAAATACGGCAGCATCAAGGACCCAAATGAGCTTCGCGAAATCACAGGCCTCAATCAGAACACGGCCGTATTGCTAGTTCTCAAGGACACTTTTGCAGAAACGCGCTGGGAGCTTCTTCACGAGGGCTCTAAATTACTGAGCAACTGTATCACTCTCAATTCGGGAACTGGTTTATAATAGACGTTCCAGGATGAGTATTCCTTTTTGTTGTTTTTGATGGCTTGGCAGAGTCTGTGGGTTCTCGATGGAAGCGCTCTTACTTTTGATATTTTTGGTTTCTTATATATGAAGAAACGGGGTGAAGTGTTATAGAAATGTGAAATGAGGTGGGTATGTTGATGTTGTTGATATGATTTATGAATGAGGAAGAGGAGTTTTTGGGAGTCGAAATGAGTGGTGCGGAGTAAGATGGGAGGTGACCAGATGGCTTACTTGAACACAACAGTCTTGGTCGCCTACTGTTATGATATAGAAACCTTTCTTGATGGTCATTACTAAGGAGAGACTCAGAGGCATGATTTCAAGACAAGGAAGCTGTGCTGTCAGGATGCATTAACGATCTTTTGGGAGGCGGGGGGCATTTACTTCTTTGCATTTAGCGAGCGATCTGACGGCAGGGTTGATACGATGGTTAAGAACTCAAAGCAATTAATTGGTTATTTTCCCTACTTACATACTATATTGCTAGCCAGGCATAGATCCCGGCAAGAGTGTTTATATACAACTTCTCGATAGTCTCAGAATAGCAGAATCATGACTAGACGATGCGAACAATCCTTGTTCTTCCCAAACAGCGAGCCTCGCCTGTGTAATGGCGTGTCTCCTTGCCCTCATTACCAAGACTGAGTATCTTCCTGCATTCTTCATTTCGGCAGAAGGACGGGTCGTTGAAGCAGAGGTTGTGTCTTGTGGCACAATCGACAACGAAGAGCCCGACGCGCTCGAATTTCATCTCCGGATCCATTCCCATATCTATGTCCGACTTGAATCTAACAACCCTACCCGGATTGCGCAGGTCCAATCCAGCTTCGACAAGGACAAGGCAATAGTACGCCTGCAAGTTCGCGGAATATCCAGCTTTTAGGATAGGCAGGATGTAGACATGTTGAAGTTGAGAGAAGGCAAATTTGTTCGTCGGACGATGCGAATCTCGAATCACCTTGCAACCCGGACGCTTCAACGCTCCGGGGGCTATTTTCGTAAGAGGCCCTTTTACGGATACAGTGCCGGTGTAAGTTGAGTACGAACCAGGCGCCAGTTTGGCATTTATCCCTTCCAGATCCGCACAGAGGGTCACGCTTTCGATGCTGTGGGTGGCATATCTCTGGTACGGATGCCAGAGTCGGTACCCAACTGGAGATTCCACGGACGCCCAGGACCATGAGGGGACACGGAGCTCAGGGTGGTCGTTATGCAAGCTCAACAAGTCCGGGCTGTCCGGCTGCCTGTCACAGAACCACACCAGCGACCGGAGCACATCGCCTTGCCACATCCCCAAGAAAGACGGTTCCTTGATCACGGTCTGGAAGCGCTGGACGACGCCTTTCAAGGCAACGAGCCTATCTCTATTGTAGGTGAAGTTCCGACGGCTGTACTTTTCAACGATTTGCCTCCAGAGAAGGTACATGCCGCTGTCCAGAGCAACCTCCCGGCTGACGTTTCCTGTGAGCAGCAGCGTCTTGAGCCGCCTCTCCTCCAGGTCCCGGAACTTGGGACTGAAGTCGCCCCGCAGCCCAAGAGGCCGGCAGCCGGCGGTGTTGAGGCTGCAGCAGTCCCAGAAGAAACCGTCTTTGGTCACCGAGAGGATCCTCTTCGACAGCAGCCTTTCCTGGAACGCCCACCCTCGCTTATCGATCTCGCCCTCCGTCCTTGTGGGGAAGTTGCCGTTTGCCTCCAGCCAGGAGTAGAGAGCCTCTGGGTTCCTCCTGTCAAACTCTGTCAGCTTTCCCTGTAGAAATGGCCTCGAGGCCGCCCGGACCGCTTCTTCCAGGCGGCAGCTTTCATGGTAGGGCGGGCACCCGGGGTCCAGACCCGGCAGGTCGGGGCCGTCCCCATAGGCGAGTGTGAAGACGGAGTTTCCGTAGACAGAGGCTACTTTGGATCCTTCGGCGAGCCAGTCTTGGTCGGTGCCTTGCAGGATGCACTATAGACGTTAACTTGGACCATGGTAGCGCCACCAGTAAGAAGGGAGGTCTTACAAGTGCGTCGATCCACACGTATTTGATGCCGAGCATGGCCGCCACTTTGAACGTGTCCGCGTACAAAGGGTGAAGGCGTGAAACTGGATAGCCACGGTAGAACGCATCTCGCGTGTCTTCGTTTAATTGCTGATTCTTGGATAGGTACATCGGCCATCTATAGCTCACGGCAATGTATTGGAAGTCGGCGTGGCCATCGGTGTCTATGATCTTGATCTTTTCAACGGTGGTTGTTGAAAGCTCGCCCAGGTAGATGAGGCGGCGGGGGAGTTCGGGGACCCAGCCCTCTGGCTCGCTTTGGCATATGGGGTGGTGATTCCAGCATTCACCGAGCCAGTGCCTTATGATGAGAGTACAGGCTTCTAGCTCGTGTCCTGCTTCGTAGAGGGATCTATAAAGACCGTACAGCCTGCCAAAGTCGGCTTTGCGATTTCCATGTATGAGTCAGTGATCATCTTGAATCGGTGAGAGTTCAGCTTGGGAAATGAGCTGCTACCTTCCCGGCCCTCTTCGATCAAGAATTCTAGTAAATTATCTTTTCGAAGTCCTTCTATGAGCTCCTGGGACGCCGGCCCGGAATCATCGAGGACCAGCAAGGGGTATGACGGCTTATACGGGCGGCCGAAGCCAGATTTGTCTACTCTTTGGCTGTAGATTTCCCCTTCTGAGGGCTTATCCTTCTATAGCAACAGCCTCATGAGTATTTATTCAATCGAGGGAGTCATGCGACGTGTATGACGAGGGTACACTTACCGATCCAGCCGTGAAGGCCCGAACCCACCAGCCTCGGTCGGTGTCTAGAAGCTTTAATACCATCAGCGGAATGTGCTTGGCAGTTTTCTTTCAAAAGTTTGATACTGGAGAAGAAGAAGAAGAAGAATTAAAAAGAAAGGCACTCTTTCGACTAAGTAGACGTTCTTTGAACTGATTTGATGGTGAGGCAGACTCACATGCTTACATACACGACGCACGCATCACCTCTGACTCCCATGCGGTGACTCTTCTACACTGCATAAAGGAACGCCGGAAAACCATGTTTGAACAATCAAGCTACATAATTATGTACGTGAGACGATAAATACCGGAAGCATCTAGGGTTCGCTCATGCTATGGAGCCACCAGGTCGCATTTACTACTAGAATTATAAGAATGGGATCAAAAAGTTTATGTAGTACACAGACGGCGCCTGAGCTTCGGAAGATAAAGTATTGATGCCTATCCATGGCTGGCAGTTTGGTCCGTTAGGGATCAACGGCCTATTCCAGTTGGGGAATAAGCTACAGTTGCCGTAAGCTCCGGCTCTGCCCAATCACCACCATGCACATAAGACTTTAAGTCCGAGAGCTGAGCTGCCCCGCGTCCAGATACAGACAGGGCATCCAAGTCATCCAGTCGGAGAGAGCTTGTCAATCACGTAATTACTTGCCTTTATCTAGGTAGCTCGACGTCCAGCCCTCTTCCATCGTCGTTCCTCGAGAATCGCCTTCTCTGTCGTGTGCGAACCGTGCTTCCTGAACTCTGGCCCTTCTCTATCCATCACGCTCTTCGTGTTGTGTTAATCATGGCACAAAGAATTTGGATCACAGAGAATGACCTGGGGCCTGAGTATCTGATCGGGCTCCCGCCTGAGATCCTCCACCATATCCTCATCTGGCTTGATCCCTCTGATTTGTTTCCGGTGGCCCTGGTGTGTTGGCCCCTCTACAGGTTCGTCATAGGAAACCAGAGACTCTGTCAAGATATTTATCTCAAGCGATTGGTATGGTAGACTGTCTCCTAAGCTTGCGGCTAGCTCCTCGTGCTTCCGATATTGACATCGCCATAGGATGCACCTCCAGACAATGTTCCTTTCCTGGACTGGGAGTCCGAACTTATCGATATGGTGAGACTGAATGAAATATTTAAATATGCCGAGTATGGTATGGTAAGTAACATGGCCGAGTATGATAGGGTGAGTAGCATGGAGAACTTCCTCATCTCCTTGAGCCAGCAGCCGGATTGAAGTGGATCTGACTTGTCACAGGAGGACCGGCTTCCTTTTGTCTGTAGAACCGTCAGTAGGTTGCTCAAGCACGCTTCATTCAATGATGGAAGCCGCGACGAGGGAGAAGAGTCTCAACGCCCCGTATCGCGAAACGTGGAATATCTCAGTGGCCTATTTGAAAAGAATGAGGTCGCAACTCGTATCTTCACACAGCAGTCCCCGCTATTTGACCGCATAAACTCCAGGTTCCAAGGCTCTACCCCATTTCCTCAGCCGCTTGAGAGACATCAACAGAGTGCGAAGCTTCACTGCCTCTATGGACGGCCCGCTCAGCAAAGCGGGAGAACGAGGTCCACGACCACTTATCCCTGGGCCTGCTCCAAGGTGTATGACATACGCGAATACAGCCAAGCCAATGGATGGGGCCCATTCAGGAGGGATGGAACCGGCCGCGTGGACTGGGAGAAGGTAGAGGCCATCAATATTCTAATGTGGAAGAATATTTCTACAATGTGCCCAAGAACCGACATCTTCGACGAGATATGGGACACTCCTTTTTTCGGATCATTTGCGCACAGCTATGTGCCGACAAATCTTCCTACGCTCTCTGATCTAGATGCCCAGGATCCATATGGAGTAACTGGGACTTATTATCGGGTAAGTAGGCACGCAAGACATGTTGGAGAATCATTCTCGAACCCGCCACTCTTCTCCTTCTCCTTTGCTGCTCATGAACTAACTTATTCCTCTACTCGTCGATAGGTCGTATGTTTCCTCGACCACAGTGACTTTATTCGTTTCAACTTCTCAAACATGGGCATTGTCACGCACAACATCCCCCGCCCACCGTTGGACAGAGGCGAGGCGACACGGCTCATCCTCATGGACCTCGAGGTCACTCGCATTGAGCCTCCCGGTCCAAACGAGGACCAAGATTTTCCAGTGGTGCATTTTAAAGGCGTCTCGCGATCATTTGATACCGACTTCATCGAGGACGTCCACTCCACTCTTAGTGGTGAGTAACTTTTCCCTACACCAGCGAAATAACATGTTTGATGAGGAAGCTGAACTAAAATTGATTTCCAATTCGTCTCTGAAGGCTCCGTGCGCATGACCGAGGAAGGCGAGGTCAAATGGTCTTCCGTCTCCGCGTTCGACGGCCAAGAAAGATGGAGGAGCGAGGGTGTCCAGATTGGAGGTGTTCAGTCCGCGAGGGGAGTTGTCGGTACTTGGTTCGATAGGTACGGTCACCAGGAGTTTTTTCTTCAACTCATTGATAATCGCCAACTTTTTCTGACATTTCTTGCAACTTTATTAGTGACTACGACATACACGGGCCAGTAGGGCCAACGGCGTTCTGGAAGGCTGCCGATTGCAAGAACCCCAGGGAGGCGCTGCTGAAGGGCGCGAGCGACATGATCATGCAGCCCGAGTGGCTGGAGGGCGTTGTCATCACGTTTGAGGACGAGGACCGCGAATCCGAGGACGATGATGACGACGAAAACTGGGATGCCGGCTTGGACCCGGTCGAGGACGAGCTGCCCGGACTGCTGGAGGATGCCGAGATGGATTTGGACGACGTCACGACGAGAGCCATGGGTAACACTTGATGTTTGGAATTCCATAAATGTGGTCTTTCTACATTTGTTCGCAATGATTTGGGGGCGTTTTGTTTTGGGGATGAACCTCTTCCTTTCTATTCCTTGGATAGTTCTTGGGAAACTCAAAAAAAAAAGAAAAAAGAAAAATACAACATTATTAACAGAAAACAAGGCAGGTGGAAAACATCTATATTCTAAATCTTGGACCCAAAATCCACATTCACCTTCCCGTGCTCACAAATAGCCAGAAGGGTGCCATCGCTCCTCCTCCTCATGGTCCCTCGGAGAGTAGTCATCTTCTTACCGATCTGGACGATCTCGTTGTGGACCAGGACCTCGGTCCCGGAGGGCACAGGCCGCAGGTAGGTGACGTTGAGGGTCCTCGAGACGCCCAGGTAGTTCCAGAAGTCGGGGCGGCTGACGAGCACGATGGCCATGGAGGTGCTGAAGTCGAACAGGGTCGAGGCGCAGCCGCCGTGGAGGTTCTTCAGCTGGTTGCAGTGCTCCGGCTGGACGGTGTATGAAAAGGTGATGGAAGGGTGGGGGAGCTCCAGTGTGAGATCAACGAGGGAGATGTATGGGAGCAGAGACGAGGTCCAGTCCTATTTGCACATGATGTTAGCTTGGAGTCCCGGTTTCAGTATATGATTTGGTGAGATGGGATAAGTGGTTTGGTACAGCATGGGGCGGGAGGATAACATGTGAACCGTAATGAAAGGATGAAGAACCTACCTTTGCTTTAAAATCACGAACTACGTTGTTTTCAAGCCATTCCTGGATCTTCTTTTCTATGAGTTCCTTTGGAAGGTCTGATGCCAGCTTGGGCTTCGCAGCTTCTGAGGGAGAGTCTTGCTTGGCCATGTTGAACACCCAAGCCACTGATGAGGGCTTACTCTTCCAAGAAGGATGCCCAACCTCAAATAAATAGCAATGGTGTTAAAAGGCGGTCTCCGTTACCGATTGAACCCAGGAGAGCCAGTGTATTGGCAGCCCGTTAAGAAAACACAGTAGAAGAAGCCAGCTGCCCTTGTAGTACGCGGATCTCGTGCAAGGCTGCGCTTCAGGTTCCAGTCGTATGGATGTATTAATTAGGCAATGCAGGATGGGAAATAGGTACAGTGCATTATCCATCGTTTCGTCTCCTACCACCAAGTGCCGAGGCATTCCCTTCCATCAGGTGGAGTCCAGGGGAGGAAGTACGTGCCAGGTACCTACCAGCAGGCTGGATTAAGCCCCACATCCTCCTGCAAGGTCCATCACTGCGGATGTACCACCGGAGTACATTGTCAACATTCCTCCCTGCTGACCAATTTCGGGCAGGGATGAGCCAGATAAGCTCTGAATGCCTGTAGGACAGCCCGTGGTGATTGCATCGTAGGTATTCGACATGGATATTCGCAGATATCGAGAGTCCATCAGCTAGGTTCAAAGTATTATAAGCCAGACAGTTGAGGCGCCTCCTATGTAGGTAGGTATTCAGCCACAGCAAGATGGAGTGATGAGCTGTCAGAAGCCGAACCCCGTAATTATTCCCCTACCGCAACATCTAACATAGGTACAAGGGGCATAAACTGATATATGGCCCTCCATGCCTCGATATAAACAAACTGACAACTCGAAAATGATGCCACTCTTCAGATAGAATAAGATGGAATATCCCTTGATTGAGATTCATCACAGGTTCAACTCTCTTCATGTTGGTTGACTTTACTTCTGAGCAATGACAGCTGAGCCGCGCACGAGCCACAAGGCCGATATTTGTCCCGAGGTACGGAGACACTAACCCAGACATCCACACGGCGACCTCTACCCCAGCTTTGCCGTCTCCCGAAGCCATCACTTCGCACCCGCCCATCAATCAACCTCGAAATTGCTACTGAAGGCCTGCCTGTGTCAGTACAGTCACTCAGTTGCCTCGATGCTCGCTTCGTAGCACAACCAGCTGCCCCCTGCCAGTGCTAGAGTCAACGCGATTTTGCGCTCGTGATTTCGACCTAGTAGACAGGCCAAACCGTCGCGATGGAGTTCGTGACAGCCCTCCGGGCCCCCTTCGACGACCAGAAGCCCTCGCTGTTCGAGATTCTGTCCGAGCAGCAACTCAACAGCCTTCTCCCTCCGACCCTACGATATCTCCTGACCGTCGCGACCCAGCGCTACCCCCGTTATCTCCTGCGCATTCTCAACTCCTACGATGAGCTCTACGCCCTTGTCATGCTCCTCGTCGAGCGACACTACCTACGCACGCGCGGCGGCTCATTCACAGAGAACTTCTACGGCTTGAAACGCGACAAGGCCCTCCGCGGCGAGATTCCCCGCGCCGCAGCCACCGCACCTCACCTCGTTCGCGACACCCTCCGCCTGACCACCAAGGACGTGTGGAAGAACCTGCTGGTCCTCGTCGGCGTCCCCTATCTCAAGAGGAAGCTAGATGAGTCCTACGATATCAATGCGCCCAGAGCCCTTCTGGGAGCCGCCTACACGCGCATGCCGGACAACCCTACGCTCAAAGATCGGTTCCTCTTCTACTACAGATGGTTCCTCCGCAATATATACCCCTCCGTCAATGCCGGTTACTACTTCGCGATGCTCGCCTTTAACCTGGCCTATCTCTTCGACAGCACTAAATTCCACAGCCCGCTCATGTGGCTTATCGGCACTCGCATTCGGAGGATGACCGCCGCGGACTATGAAGCCATTGAGGCGCTCTCGGCCCCCCCTCCTGCCAGCAAGAAGCCAAGCGCCCCGGCCTGGAGATCGCTGTTCTCGCCCATGGAAATGGGGCCCAAGCTCATGTCCAGCCTGTCGATCATGCTCCCAATGAGTATATTCGCCCTCAAATTTCTCGAGTGGTGGTACCAGTCCGACTTTGGAAAGCAGCTGTCGCGCAAGGCGGCTGAGAATATCCAGCTGCCGCCCCCCGTCCTCTCCAGCCTGATCGGCAAGGGAGGTAGCGCTTTGAAGAAGAAGAAGGACGCACAGCCTGCTCCGGCTGAGGCTGGTGGGGAAGAGAAGCGTCAGGAGCCGTCTCCCGAGACCGCTCCCATCGCTACCCCGTCGTTGCTCCCGATCTATACCGTCTCCACGCCAGAGGACTCCTCGCTCTGTCCCATTTGCCAGGGCGACATCGTGACTCCAACGGCGTGCCAGACAGGCGTTGTGTACTGTTACACGTGTATTCATAGATGGATTGAAGGGATCCATCCCATCCAGGAAGAGTTCATGGAAGACAAGGCTGGAAAATGGGAGAGTGGCCAGGGGAGATGCGCTGTTTCCGGCCGGCGGGTACTAGGGGGGACAGAAGGGTTAAGAAGAATCATGGTCTAGAACTGACTACTTACAAGTAGGCAAGGAGAAACTGCATATATGGATATTGCATACGAGGCGCAGCGTTGTTTATGGGAATCCCTCTTTTTCGAGGGTAGGTGGGGGCGTCAGGGGTAACTAATACAAGACTCAATTCTATAACTAAATCTACAACTCTACCGTTCACTGGTATGCCACACTTCTGATGGGAGAACCCCTTTGCACATCTCCCGGGGGGCTGGGCAGTCGACTGGCATGTTGAAGCTCTTCGTTGGAATGGATTGTTAAGGAAGTTGTCTCAGATAGAAGGCCATTGGGGCTTGACTAGCCCAAGATCTGCGACAGGTGTGGCTAATGTCTCAGCTTTTACCCCAAGATAATCAGGGGTCAGGGCCCATGAGTGGCTCAAGGAATCAAATACCTACCTATAGATCGATGAATCTTCCGGATCGGGGCGAAATGTCGCAGACTCGCGTGGCCGGGGGAACAAACGGGAGGCTTCAAGACTCTTCCAACTGAACATCCTTACCCCGGTCTTGCCCCTCCACACCCATCGGTATGCTATCCATGGTTCGACCTCTTCAATTGCTTCTCATTCTCTGCCACAGCTATGTGTGGGATCAATAATGGCCATCCTTCCAGCCTCAACCTCATTCCTGGGGCTCCCGACCTCTCGGGGTCCCCCAGAGACATGGGGAAAAGCAGGGCGTTGATCAATGATAAATAGGACAGGATGGTCGATGGCAACGACAACTTTTCTCTCGTCTCCCAAGCAACAACTCCAGACACTTCCAACAGTCTAGTCCACTTCGATCTCATCGCAGACATGGCGTACTCTCTATCCACCTCATTCTTCGGCGAGTCCCTCTTGTCCGGTTTCAACTGGCACAACGGAGCCGATCTCTCCAACGGCTATGTCTCGTACGTATCTCATCTTGAGCAGCTTCAGATATATTTTCCTTTCGGGAAGTTGAGCTAACTTTTCTCCTTCAGATATCAGAGCCGCTACGATGCAGAGGCACGAGGGCTTGTCTCAATGGACCCAATCACCCAAGCTGTCCGCCTGGGTGTTGACAGCACCAACTACTACGGCATGGGAGAGGGTCGCCCCAGCATTCGCATTGAGAGCAAGGAGTCTTACAACCACGGCCTCTTCATCGCCGACTTTGCACACATGCCCCCCTCAGATTGCGGCCTCTGGCCAGCTTGTAAGTACCCGGCATTGTCTTGCCCCTCTTAGATGTCCAAAACTGATCGGGTCTTCCTTCATGCAGTCTGGGCTTATGGCACAAACTGGCCCAATGGTGGAGAAATCGACATCATTGAAGGTGTAAACACAGCACACAAGAACTTGATATCCGCCCACACAGCCGAAGGTTGCTCCCAGGATCCATGGGAAGTCAGCCAGTCGACAGGCCTACAGCGCAACACCGACTGTTTCGTTGGTGATCAGAACATTGGCTGTGGATTCGAGCCCCCTTCTTCCGATGTTTCTTCATACGGAGATTCATTCAACGCCGTCAATGGTGGCGTTTATGCTATGGACTGGGACTCGGAGCGTATCCGTGTCTGGCACTTCCCTCGTGGTCGAATTCCTTCCGATATCAAGGCCAAGAGGCCCGACCCTTCCAATTGGGGCTTGCCCCAGGCTGCCTTTGGTGGCAGAAGCTGCGATGTCGATAGCTACTTCAAGGATATGAGCATTGTTCTGAACATTGTGAGTCATGACTTCGGCCACATGGTTTCGGCCAAAACTTAAGATTATCGATTATACTGACAAGTCAAAACAGAACTTTTGCGGTGACTACGGAAACGCTCTTTGGAACAGCGATGAGTGCAGCAGCTATGCATCAACCTGCTCTGAATACGTCGGCAGCAACCCCGGAGTCTTCACCAACGCCTACTGGGAAGTGAACTACATCGATGTTTACCAGAAGAACCGTGTCTCCCCAACTACAACAACCACGAAGACAGCCCCAGCACCTACTACCAAGCCTCAAGGTTACCCATACCTTCCTTTCCCCGACCCTGGAATCGGCATCGAGCCCACCGCCATCCCTAACCCCTTCAACATCAACCGGTACGCCTATCTCGGCTGCTTCGAGTCCACCTCCAGCTTCGAAACCTTCGAGGTCGAGTCCGAGAAGGAGGACATGACTCTGGAGACCTGCGTCAAGCTCTGCAACGCCAAGGATGCTGCATATGCCGGTGTCAATGGCCGAGTCTGCTCCTGCGCCAGTGAGCTCGGTCAGGATACCCGCGCCACTGCCCTCGAGCGACACTGCGCCAGACCCTGCCCCGGAAACGCAGGCCAGTTCTGTGGTGGATCCAGCTCCAAGTCCATCGCCAGCCCCAGCCCCAAGCCCAGCCCCAGCTCCAAGCCTGGCTTCAGCTCCAAGAAAGCCCCCAGTGACGGTGACAAGACCGACTGCCTTCTTACCGTCTACGGTGCCGTCCTCGACGCTCAGCCTGCTGTGCCGCCTCCCATGGCACCCATGCCCAAGAGCCTGATGAAGGGTTCCTACATCATCCACACCCCGGCTACTTGCACAACGACCAAGGCTCCCGCGGTTCCTCGCCCAGCCAAGACTCCAAACTGGGCCATGACTCCCTCCTCCCTCACTACGCCAACTCCCTCGCCAACTCCCTCTGGATCTACATCGCTGGCTACTCCTCAACTCAAGAAGGCGCCCACTACCCTTCAGCGGTCCCAAATCTCTGAGACTGCAGCCGCTACCGCATCAAGCAGCAGCAAAGCTAGTGACATTCCCGTCTCTGCCGCTGCCCCCAAGGCTCCCTCCAGGATGAGCGTTGTGATCGGTGTCGCCGTCATGATCATTGCCATGCTGTAAAGGATCAGGAGATATTTGAAACTCGAGACAAGATACGTCTCTTAACGATGGATGAAATATAATTTGTGGAATCATGTTGCGCGGTATACCCAAGAAAAAAGTACAGGCGTTTTCTTTCCCGTTGTTTTTTTGCCTCTTCTTTAGATTGTTTGTTTGATTTTTTTTGTTTGGTCGGTTTTTCCTATCTCCTCTTATAATAAGACTTAATAGAATCTAGAACTCCAATAATTTAGCAGCTGCAATCAATTGATATAGAATTTACAAATGCATCCTAATTCTATTGTGACGTTTCCTACCATAGGAAGTACCCATGAGGTGATCCTACTTTGGGCTGCGGAATCAACCAAGAACTTACCCCTTTTTCACCTCTAGTCAATACACCATTTTTTGTTTGTTTGTGATATTTACAAGTCTACAACAACCGCTCGGCTCGTAGTCTTACCCGTATTCCCGATCATCTGAGCCGCGTTGACCATCATCCCGGCCTCCTGGGGTCTCGGCGCCCGCACGAGAAACTCCCAGATAAGCTTGTTGATGCCGACGAGAAGGAAGTGGCCGTAGAGATACCAGTTCTCGTTGGGGAGGAAGTCGAGGATCGGCCCCCGGCGGGGCAGCGAGAGGATGCGCTCGTAGGCGGTCTGGAAGTCGTCGTAGTGGACGGGCTCGCTGCCGGCGCCCCAGTGGATGTGGCCGAAGACGTGGAGGCGCGGCTTGATGCGCCAGACCTCGCGGAGGAGGTGGGGGCAGCCGAGGTCGAGATCACGGTGGTGCGCCTGTTCGGATGTGGGATAGTTGTTCAGCAGATGATCTCTTGTTTCACGTGGGGGGGAGGAAAGGCCACTTACAGGTGGGCAATGGGTGATCAAGATGTCGGTGTTGGGGGGGACTTTGCTCATCCATTTCGACTCGTCTGGAGAGTATTGGAATCTATCAAGGGGCTCAATTAGCCAGGTTTTCTCCCCGTCAAGCTTCATTTCAGACTCACGCAAAGCTCGAAGGGCCGCATTTCGGGATATCGGGTGCCCCAAAGACATTCAGCTTCCGGCCCTTGATCTCCACGACGGTCGAACTGTTCTCGAGATATGTGATGCCGTCGAGGTCGAGCTTGGAGGCTTGGTCGATGTCCTCCTGCTTCCTGCTCCGCGGGTCGAAATAGGAATCATGGTTGCCGGCAATGACGATCTTTACGGGGTGAGGCTGCTTCTTGAGCCAGTCAAGCTGGAGCTGTATGTCATGGGCGGTGCCGGCATCGGTCAGATCACCGGCGTGGATGAGAATGTCGCCCGGGGGGATTGACACCGTCTGATCGTGGGTGTCGGAGATGGAAACGACGCGGATAGGCTCTTTGTCTCGGGGGGGACTGACGGGCCGGCCGAGGAGGAAGATGACGAGGTAGTAGAGCTGGATAGCGATGAAGGTGAGTGGGGAGCTCAGAAGATGGTCGAGCAGCGTCGGCGGGTCCCATTCGACGCTGCGCCTGAGGCCAAGAGTGGTGAACAGGCCCATTGTAGGTTGCGATTCGGAGACGAGGCTGTCGGCAGTGTTATTAGGTGTACCAGCACACACCCACCATCACAATGTGGCGTCCGGTGAGATTAAATGAACCAATGCAAAAGGCTGGCTTGATGCTTACCGGCAAGCAACAGCTCATGGCCGCATTGGAGCTGCTGGTTGGTCCCCCACATCTCGCTGCGGCAATGACGTGTAGCACCGCCGTTTGAGCTTAGTGCCTGTGGTAGCTGATAACGATAGCAATGGACCACGAGGGTGACATTGAATTCGGTACACTTGAACATTCTCCTGCTGGTTCTTGAGTCTATGACTGCTCTTGTCATATGATTGAGAGCCAGTAATAGATTTTAGAGAGGTAATATATCAAAATTTCATCATTTTGGGTCGTTTTAAATTACTACACTGCCATGATATTTTCCTACTTATTGTAGACAAAGCTCTCATCTTCCAATTTATTGTCGCATTTATTCTGTCACCCAATTCGCCAGCAAGCAGCACCAAAGCAGTTTATACTTTGCAGCTGCTAAACCCCCTCCTGCCAGCAGTGACGTCGTGCCAGGTGCCAACCATTCTACCAGAGCTGATTCCCTGATCTTCCGCCGATCCCCGCGACGGACCCTGTAACACATCATCACACGTCCTTCTCGCAATGAAATCAAGACTTAAGGTAATGGGCCAGGGGAATACAAATAGCTTCTAGACCCCGCACTAATCATATGTGTTCATTTTCCCATTCGTCTTGAGCAATATTCTCGTGGCGTCTCGTCTCCGTCTCCACGTGACGCTCTCACCAAGTACATCAAAGGTGGATTTTGGGTTATTCTTTGCTAGCTTCACCAAACCAGAAGCTGTGGCAGTCGAGCTGCATCCCATCGCACGCACACGACGTCGAGAATTGCCAGTTCCTCGCTACTCTATTTCCCGCATTCGAATTGGGTTTGCTGGCCCCTGAATTTTTCATGGTTGACTTGGCGACATTCTGAGATCTACATCATGACGAGCCTTGAGAAACTGGTCGGTAGCACTGGTGATGGTGACAATCGTAATTTTGGGTACGGAATTGAGCAAAGCACTTTCTTTTGATGCATACTTGATCGACCACATTTGAGCAGACAAACTGATTTGAGCCCTCGCCGACGGTCTTATAGTGTCGATTTTGTCATCCACCAGCTGATCCCGGCCCAAGGTTTGTGTTTTCTCCAATGAGCTACCCCAACATCAAATCTGAGTTAATACCTAACTCTACACAGAACGCACCGAGGCCGAGGCCGCTTTTATCCAGCTCATCGAGACGCTCACAAAGGTCGGCTTAGCGACCGAGGTCCGCGCGGGGAGTGACAACTCCCTCCTGATCTTCACCAAGATCGCGTCATGGGACTTTCTTGCACAGCAGGTGTACCGCTCCCGCCTTCAGGACTGGCTGAATGGTCTGCGCTCCTCTGCACCAGAGAGGGAGATCCGGCGTGCGCTCGAAGACGAGCCCGTCACCGAGGCTGAGCGCTCTCGCATTGTCTACCTTCTCATCACCAAGCCCCAGAATGACGGCGGCGCGGGCATCACGCCTGGGAATGGCCAGTGGAGGTACATTCAGTCCATACTGCCTCTGCACGACCACAACTTCAACAAGGCCTGGATCAAGAAATGGGGCCAGAAATACCTCTTGAACCAGGACGATCTGAATGAGATTCGTGACAAATTTGGCGAGGGCGTCGCCTTTTACTTCGCCTTTGTCCAGTCCTACTTTCGATTCCTCCTCTTCCCCAGTGCCTTTGGTCTCTTCGCCTGGCTCTTCCTTGGAAAGTTCTCCTACTTTTACGCCCTCGTCAACTGCCTCTGGTCAGTCGTGTTTTTCGAGTTCTGGAAGCAGAAGGAGGTCGATATGGCTGTCCAATGGGGTGTCCGGGGTGCCTCCCAGGTTCAACTTCCTCGACCCGAGTTCAAGTGGGAGTATGAGGCCGAAGACCCTGTGACTGGCGAGCCAATCAAGGTATACAGTCCGATGAAGCGAATTAAAACGCAATTGCTTCAAATCCCCTTTGCTCTGGCCTGTATCGTGGTCCTCGGTGGCGTTGTTGTCACATGTAATTCATTGGAGGTCTATATCAATGAGATGTACGATGGGGGTGGCAAAGCGGTTCTCGTAAGTATTGTCCAAAACATCTCCATGAGAGTTGCTCCCTTGGGGAATCGGTTCGAAACTGAAGTCGATTTCATGACTAAGTTCTGTGCAGGGCCTCATTCCAACTATTCTTCTTAGCTCTCTAATCCCGGCTTTCTCTGCTGTGTTGATGAAGGGAGCCGAAGTTCTAACTCAGTGGGAGAACTACCAAAACGTGGATGGTGAGTGTACTTCCTACACCAAGCAGACAATGGCGAAATCTAACTTCGACCGAAATCTGAAGCCTACAATGCCGCTCTCATCCAGAAACAATTCGTTCTCAACTTCATGACCTCGTACATGGCCCTTCTATTTACCTTGTTCGTCTACATTCCCTTTGGGGAGATCTTGATCCCATTCTTGAATTTCTGGCACAGCACGGCACAGGTAGTGAGCTTCAACGAGAAACCTCTACCGGCCAAGGAGTTCAAGATAAACCCAGCCAGAATCAGTGGACAAATGTTCTACTTGACCATTACCGCTCAGATTGTGAGTCTTCTTACACAAGTCGTGGTTCCCTACGTGAAGCGCCAAGTCTTCGCCGAAGCGAAGAAACTCAGTTCCAAGGACACCACGCCCGCAGTCCAGGACCGTCCTGAGGAGGCCGAATTCCTAAAGAGGGTCCGTAAGGAGTGCGAGCTGGAAGTTTACGATGTCAGCACTGACTATCGTCAAATGGTGATTCAATTTGGTAAGTTTAGCTACTCTTCGTCCAAATCGACAATATGATCCGGGTTTTTGTTAACCAGTGGTAGGCCATCTTTCCATGTTCTCTTCCGCATGGCCTCTTGCGGCATGCTGCTTCCTCGTGAATAACTGGGTTGAACTACGATCAGACGCCGTCAAGATCGCTATTGGAAGCCAACGTCCCATCCCATTCCGGGCCGACACAATAGGCCCCTGGTTAACTGCCCTCGGATTTCTCTCGTGGCTTGGCAGCGTATCTAGCGCAGCCATTGTGTTCCTCTGCGGGGGCTCGACAGATCATGAGCGTGGCACAATGTCGCACATTAGCGCTTGGGGTGTTCTTAGCAGTGTCTTTCTGGCAGAGCATTTCTACTTCTTGGTCCAGATGGCAGTGCGATATTTCATGAGCAAGTTCGAGAGCTATGGACGACAGAAAGAGCGAAAGGAGCGATTCTTGATCAAGAAGAGATACCTTGAGGAGACCCTCGGCCAGGGAGTTGCCGAGCAAGCTGCAACCCCGGGGCTCACCCACGGGGAGAAGATCACTCGGGAAGCATTGGAGGAGCAGGAGCGCGAGGCTTCAATCAAAGGACATGCTTCTCCTGAAGATCTGTAAGTAAACCATCTATGAGTCGTGCGCAGCGCAAGCCTAACAGTCCAACCGCAGGTTCTGGCAGCGACAGCGAGGAGTCCAGGAAACCATTACAGTCGGGCGAAGCATGATTGAGGTAAGCCAGCCGCAATGAAACTAGCCCCCGAGAAACGGGATACCTCTTCAAGAGCTAAAACTAACGAAAAGAATTTCCAGAAGGCTGTCACCGAGAAAGGAGCGGCTAAACCTGCTCAACCCAGTCCTAGAGCGTAACTAGATAGTACGGGGCATCGTTAGCCGTTATTGAAACCGGTCCCTGGCTCCGGTCCGGCTCGATTTACTGTCTCGTCCCGCGTCGTTCCAGACCTCTCTATCTCACGTTTGCGTCGGATCCCTCATGTCTCGCAGTGAGACGATATATTTACCGAACCTTGATTATGTTTTTTTTCTCTTCATCATCTTTATTTGTTCTTCCATCAGCGTTTTCTTGATTTGACTGTGGGTGGATATTGCTCAGAGGCACAGGAGACAAAAGGAGGGCTTTGGAGGGTGTTGGATCCCCATTGGTGCATCAGCGAGCACGTGGGTTATGACGTTCGACATATAAGTCTTGGCAAGGGTCGTGCTCGAGTGGTCGGAGCTCACATTATCGATGGCACCGCGTGGGCCTCACTGGACAGACGCGAGCTAGAACACTTTAGCCAACGGTTAATGGCTACCCGTCAAAGTCTAGCAAGGAGATCAGATGGCTTTGGGCCATCCGCCGACTGCTGATCCGATCGGCTAGGTGCGGTTTGCAGATAGGGGCTCAATTCAAACAAGAGCATTTGACACGTGAAACTGTCGTCCACGCCCCGCGGCAGGAGTCCAGCCACCTTTCTACATGCGAGATAGTGAATGCGAGTTTTGGCTGCGTGCTCGTGTGTCGTGCCAGCATCAGGATACTGTGGTCCATATATGGTTACGGTCGGGCGCAATACCCACCGCACCTATGTGGGAGCAGATACTTGCCGAATGTGTATGTACATCTCGTTCAGCCTGCAGGCCACAGCTTACAGAGTGAGATTCTGAGAGTTTGCATGTACATGTGCGCCATGTACTGCGGCTAGATTGGAAATTACCTACCACGCCAGTCGCCCGAACTGCCTTATCCCCAAGTAGTGGCAGCGTCCCACAGGAGAGGCCAATGGCGCATGCTCTTGGACTCAACATGGTAAAGTGCCCAGACAAGCCCCTCCACGGGCTTCTCCAAGGCTTCCCAGGCGGCAGCTTCTGTTGGCTGTCTCCTGGGCTGAGGCTGCTCCCCGTTGCACCCACACAGCCCGGCTAGGCCAACCAACCCCTGCGCCCGTCCACCGACCCCTTGGGGTCTTGGCTTGGATAGGCAGCTTGCTGATGGGAGCCCGGTGATCTGTTGCAACAGCTCGTCTCAAGGAGCATGCACGCTACGGCACCGAGCCAAGAAAATGTGCCCACAGCCTAGCCGCAGCCCGATTTGTGTGCGATTTGAGGTGCTCGGCCCACCCACCCAGCAGCAGCCGCCTTGGATGCAATGCT